CAGAACCTTCTCAAAACCACCCCTGCTTCCCCTCGGAGCTTTTACTATAGACCAGCAAGACGACAAGGAAAGGCAAAGGAGACGGGCAGGGCAGCTCCGGAGAGCCGGCGCCAGCTGGCCCAGGTGCGCCAGGTGCGCCCCGGAGGCGTGGGGGCGGGGGTTGGTGGGGTGATGGGTGGGCCCCTTACGGTTTCCCTCAGCTTCCTCTCGTAGTCCAGCTCGCGCTGCAGGCTGCCAGCGCGGTCCTCCGCGGCGTCCGCCTGCTCCTGCAGGCTCCGGATCTTCCTCCGCACCGCCTCCAGCGAGCTGCTCCCCGCCATCGCGCGGGGCGGCGGGCAGGCTGCGGTGGAGAGCCCGGCTGCTGCTCTGCTGCCGCCGAACGCCGGTCCGCCCCGCCCAGGTCGCTCCGCGCGACTGCGGCGCCCCCTGCGGCCCACTAGCAGCCCGGAAGTCGCGGCCTCAGGGGCAGCACAGACGAACCGCAGGCGGGTGCGCGAGCGCCGGGGGCAAGCACGCGCGGGCGGGGCGTGCGACGCCGATCCCGGGAATTTGTGACCCGCCGGAGGCACTGCGCATGCTCGCGGCGGCGGGCGTGGCGGGCGCGCGGGGTTCGCTGCGGGGATACCTGGCCGGCTGGGCCCTGCTGGCAGGGAGGCCACTGTGCAAGGTCTTTTATTTCAACGCTCAGCGCTCCTCCCCGGTGACCTGGGGTAACGGACTTGACTGCTAAGGGCGATAGCGGCTCCTGCTGGCCGCGGGAGCGCTCCGATCCAGAGTCCTGATTCCCACGCCCAGGAGGGCGAGAAGCTGAGAGAGGGGTTTGGAGCCTGAACGTGCCCGCAGGGGACTGTTTCCTCGTTGTAAAGAACCCCAGAACACAGGATCCTAACCACAACACCCTCCCTCTCCCCCCAAAAAACTTAACAAAGTGAAAACCACTAACATATAGAGCATAGTGCTTAGACCTTATGTTCTAAGAGCAGTTTTCCGGCCGGGCGCGGTGGCTCACGCCTGTAATCCTAGCACTCTGGGAGGCCGAGGCGGGTGAATCGCTCAAGGTCAGGAGTTCGAGGACCAGCCTGAGCAAGAGCGAGACCCCCGTCTCTACTAAAAATAGAAAGAAATGATCTGGACAACTAAAAAAATATATAGAGAAAAAATTAGCCGGGCATAGTGGCACATGCCTGTAGTCCCAGCTACTAGGAAGGCTGAGGCAGCAGGATCACTTGAGCCCAGGAGTGTGAGGTTGCTGTGAGCTAGGCTGAAGCCATGGCACTCTAGCCTAGGCAACAGAGTGAGACTCTGTCTAAAAAAAAAAAAAAAAAGCAGTTTTCCTGCGTTGAATCGGGTTCCTGGTTCCCTGCTGTGTGACTTTGGGTAAATAACTTGACTTCACTGGGCTTCATCTGTAAAAGTGGAGATAACAGAACTTTCCCCATAGGGCTGCTATGAGAATTATGAAATAAGAAAGCGCTTAGCACAATACATAGTTAAGAACTCAAATGTAGGTATAATTAATAAATACGCAGGCACCGTTTTAAGAGTCAGGCTGGGGCCCATAATCAGTCGTGTGATCTCAAGCCAGCTTCACCGAGGCTCACTTTCAGTAAAAACAATCCTCTCAAGGGTCGCTTCTCCTTACAACTTTCGCTGGTGTTAGACCAGCCTGTGAGATCTCAGAATCTGACCTATTCTAGCCTGGACTCGGATGCCTTTAAAAGGCACTCCAGGGAGGGCCACAGAACCTATGAGAGAGCCTCTGGCTATAGCTGGGTAAATCCACCATGAACACAATCTCTGGGAACTGGAGTCCCCCCTTGGGCTGCGTTTATAAATGCCTTCTAAGTCTCGGGGCTTTTTTCCCCTCACCTTTGTCACAGGGGGCTCTTAAAGTCAGTTCCTGATGTGTTTAAGAGTGAGAATAATGAAGAAAAAGAAAACATGCCTGACAACCCCCGCCTCCTCCAAGCCCTAACAAGGAACCTTTGCGCTTTCCCGACTCAATTTCTGGGGAGTTTCTCACAGCCACTGCAGAGACTCTCACAAACCCCAGCTCGGGCCCTCACATCCTGTAGGTGGAGCCTCTTGCTTTGTTTCCATCCCGTTCATCTGGTCAGGCGGGGAGGCTACAGCTCCTCCCCTAAGCACACAGGCCGCTGGCCTCCAACACTGAGGATCGTGGTAGCCAGCGTCTGGAAACCTTCAGAAACAGCCAGTTAAACTGCTGGACACTTACAAGTGCTCTAAGCAGCCAACTAGTGACTTAATGTCCTGGTTTTCAAACACCTGAGGAGGTTAGTTTCAGGTGAGTTCATTTTCATGCTGATATCATTATACAAGAGTTTAGGGCAGTTGTTCTCATCCTTGGCTTTGGGTGGAATCACTTGGGTGCCAATTGGGTTCCACACCCAGAGATTCTGATTTAATTGCCTGGGGTACAGCCTGACTTTGGGTTTTAAAACTTCCCTAGGTGGTTATGTTTAGAAAGGTTGAGAATTACTAATTTAGGAAGTAAAGACCTACAGGGAATAAAGACCCACATACTGCAAATAGATATATCACAATTATTGGAGAAAGGGTTGGCGCCAGAAAAAAATGGAGCCCTCGATCCCCTTCAGCCTCATTTTCCACTTAGGTGGAAAGACAACAAAAAATTCAAAGCAAAACCATCAGGGATGCTACCTCCTGAATGACGACCTTTTGAGCTAGGAAGAGCCCACTTCTGGAATAGGAAATTTGATTCTACCTATTCTATCTCCCACTTTCCTCTTTCTCTAGTGACATCTGTCTTTTCCTCCTCAAGTCTTGACTATTTCTGCTAGTTCAGAAATCACTCTACATACAGTCATGCAACACAATGTTTGGTCAACGATGGACAGTGTATATGACAGTCGTCCCACAAGATTATAACGGAGCTGAAAAATTCCTATCACCTAGTGATTTGCGTCACAATCGCTTACAGTATTCTGTACAGTAACACGCTGTACAGGCTTGTAGACTAGGGACAATGGGCTATACCACATAGCATAGGTGTACAGTAGGCTACACCATCTAGGTTCGTGTAAGTACTGTACACGCTGATGTTCGCACAATGATGAAATCACCTAATGACACAGCTCTCAGAATGTATCCTCTTTGATTAAGTTACTCATGACAGTATAGCATTTCTTCACAAACTTCTTCAACATCCCTACAGGTTCCAAACAACCTAAAATGTCTTAAAGGGGAAGAAGACCAATACACTATCAAAAACAGTATACCATATTTAGGGACAGTTTTCCAGTGGGAAAAAAGAACCAAAACACCACTCAAGAACCTCCCTCCCCTGCTGGCCCCGCCTCCCAGCTGACTTTAAATAGCTTCTTTTCCATTTCTGCCTCACCCCATTTTAAAGACTTTTCAATAAAGACATGATTAGCGCTACCTAGTTACAATAATTATTATCTTTTTTTCCTTAAGAATTGTGGTGACATTTTCTTTCTCTTGCTTTTAGTCTTACTGGGCTATTTTCAAATTCTCTGCATTCTTTTCCTTATAAGGAATATCTCTCCTTGATCTATCAGCGGCTCTTTTGAAAAAGCTAAGTAAACGTCCTGCTGGAGAATTTGGGGGAGAAAGGCATCTTCCATTTAGCCATATATGGAGCAAACATCTGATCTGCATTATACAAAGCAGGCTCAGAGTTATATATTTTTTGTTTCTTTTTCTAAAGCCAGGTAGTTTATAACTTAAAATGTTTTAGCTAAATCAGTGTTTCCCCCAAACCCCCTTTCCAGGAACCTTGATTTCCACTGAAAATTTCTTTTTGTCAGATTCTAAATGTCCTGTGTCTGGATTTCTCATTTACAAAGCACACCTGGAGATATGTTTCGAGCCTTTCATGCAACAAAAAGCCTTTACTGATTTCAAGAACTGAGACCTTTTAGTAATTTGCAATTTATCCTCATACAAAAAATCCTGCCATTGCACTTGACGGTTCAACTTCTGGCATAGCTTTCCCTGGTACGCACACATTCTTGGAATTGTTACCAACTTCCCAAGGAATTCTTTTCTAATTGGGCCTCTAGGCTTAATTAGCTTCCAGAATGAAACCCAATGGTGTGAAAAGAAGTCGGTCCTTTGGAAATCTAATGCTTGGCCTGACTTTCTGAGGCAGGAGAGGCAAGCTCTTCAATTAAAAAGATTCCAGAGGGCAGCGGACAAAGTGCTAGCAGAGCTTTAGCCTGTGTGCATCACCCCTGAAACTATGTGGTGGTTGTCAGAAGGCTGACAGGTGGGGGTGGGGTGAGCAGGAGGCGGCAGGGGGCAGCTAGTTCACTATACCATATAAAGCACGGAGCTATATATAACTCCCAGCTTACTTTCTGGATCTAGTGCCCTTAGACTGCAGACTCAAGCAAGTATCATCTTCCCAGGCAGATCTTAAGGGCTGGATTAAGGCTTTGCTAGTGTGAAAGGAAGCTTCAGTGTCTCTATGTCCCATCATGAAGCTCTGCCTTCTAAGTAAGAGTACCACTATGTCATTTCTTTGATTTAGAGGCCAGGCCTTCTGTACCCTGCCTAGACCCACTACACCAAAATCCAGAACTTCCCACCCACTGGAGATGGCAAAAGGAAAGAAAGTGAAGAAAACTAGGCATTCTCTGTTTGCACAAACCTTGGCGATGACACCTCAGGGGTTTTCTGCCACCAGGGAGGAAAAGTTCACCTCCAGAGTCCAATTTCAGCTGCTCTATTCTCCTAGCTTCTCACCCACCCACCTTTACCCTTAGGAGGGTAAAGAAAAGGAGAAAAAGAGAGAGAGAGGAATGGATGAAATATAAATGCAGGTGTGCAGTAGCAGTCAGAGGCCGCATCCGCTGCTCCAGGCCATGGCAGGGCTGTGCACAGGTGTTCAGCAGGAGGAGGTAACCCTCCTCCATTGCTCTCCAGCCCCTGTGGTGACCCCAGAGTGGCCACGTGGGCAAGAGGTGAGGGAAGCAGTGTGAGCGTGCACTTACATCGGTGGCCTTTTTCTCTGCCAGCTCCAGCTTCTCCTGGGCATCTTTGAGAGCCTCGGAGTATTTGTCCAGTTCATCTTCAGTGCCCTTGAGTTTCTTTTGCAGCGACACTAGCTCATCTTCCAGCTGGGAGTTGGCCGGAGGGTTTGGGGAGGGGGTGTGCAGCAGGCAGCGTGATCCCGCAGGGGAGGGGTGTGGGTGCACAGAACCAAAAGGACAGGGACAGCGGGAGAGAGAGAGGGAAAGACAGGGAGGGAGAGAGAAAGAAAAAGACAGAGTTAGCCATTCGTGCGCAGCGCCGCGCCGCACGCCCCGGGTACCTTGGCGGCGGCCTCGTCGGCGGCCAGGAGGCTGTCCTCCGCCTTGTGCAGCTCCTCCAGCACCCGGTCCCGCTCGTCCTCCGACACCCGCAGCAGCTTCTCCTTCGCCGCGATGTCCTCCTCAAGCTGGGGGCAGCGGCGGGCGGGGCGGGCGGCCGGCACGGACCGGGTGTTAGACACACACAACACAGGGCGCCGGGTTGGCAGGGGCCCCTTGGGCTTGGGGCGCTGCCGAGTTGGAGCTCAAGGGACCCTAGGTAACCTCCTCTCTCCCGGAGCTGGAACCGCTCCGTGGCTCGCCCCGCACCCCACCTCCCCGGGGATGAGACTCTGCTGAGGTCTCAGCGGGCTCAAGTCCACAACTTGGGGGCGCAGAAAAACGCCCGTTTGGCTAGCTTTGGGCTGTACCCTCCATTCTGCCCCATCTTTGTTCTTAGGAAGCAAATCCATGACTCCCCTCTCCTCCCTCAAAGTTTCCATCCCAGTTTAAGTTCCATTCTCCCCAGTGAAAAGTCCGAAGAACTTCTACATTTTCAGGACTTGACTCCCTTCCGCCTCCCTCGCCCTTCCTTCAAACTTCCCCAGGAGCGGTTGTCCTTCCCTCCTTCCCCCAGACTGATTCCCGGTCCCGAGAGTAAAGTGCCTCCAGGACTTGGAATTGACCTCGCGGGTATGGGAACCAGCGTCCTCAGACGGGACCGAGAAGTTAGAATAAGCCCGAGCCTTGCGCTCCCCCCCCCATTTCCAGACGCGCCCCTGGCCACCCTGGTGGGGGTGGTGGGGTGGCTCCCCAGTCCTCGGGGTGGGGGGGCAGGACGCGGTGCCAGGGCCGGGGGGCCCAGGGCGGGCGGAGTGCGGGCGCCGGGCCGGGGACGCGCAGACCTGCTTGCTCCTGTCTTCCGCCGCCTTCTTATCGGCCTCCGCCTGCTCGGCTCGATCCAAGGCGTTCTCCTTGTCGAGCTTGAGCATCTGCATCTTCTTCTTGATGGCGTCCATGGTGGCGGCGGCGAGGGGCCCTCGGGCTGCGGCGGGAGCGGCGGGGCGAGCGCGCGGTCGGGCGGCCGAGCGGGAGTGCGAGCGCGGAGCCGCCTGCTGCTCCCAGATATGTACTTTCCCAAGGGGGCGACCGCATTCCTCACGGCAGCCAATACTTTTTTGGAAAAGCTTTTTTCTCCTGCCCCCTCTCCCCCTCTCCTCCCTCCGCCCCGTGCCCCCTCCCGCGGGGGCCGCTCGCCCATTCGCTGCCGCCTGCCGGCCTCCCAGTAGACGGTGGATATGACTATATATGGGGACCCGAGCCGCCGAGGCGGCGGCCCGGCGAGGCCGCCCTGTTTCCAAACCTGCGCGCCAGGGAGAGGGCGCTGGGGCCTCGCGGGGGCCGAGCCGGGGCGAGGCGCTAACCTCTGCCCTCCGCGCCCCCTTCTCCCAGGCCCCGCTCCCGGCCAGTAGGGTCCCCAGCAGAGTCCGGCCTGAGCCACGGGAGGCGGGTGGAGCGGGGCAGGCGGTGGGTGCGTGTCGTCTCCCTGGGCCGTCAGACCCCAGCGTGCTCCGCCTAAGACCCGGGCTCCCCAGCAGCTCTCCACTCGGCACCTGCCAGCGCCTCCCCAGCAGCTCTCGGCCCGCCAGGTGTCATTGAGGGCGCTCACATTCTGGAAATTCAGCCGGGGCAGAGAAAGGGCGAGCTAGGAGGAAAGCCCGGGGGACCGCTCCTGGGACTTTTCCTGCGGGTGCGGGTCAGAAAGGCAGCATGCCGCAAAACGACAGCACACGGAGTCTGGCTTCCATGTGCCCTTCTCCCCCAGGGGAGAGACAGGCAAACACTTTAGGGACACAGGACCCAGGTGGCTTAGTGCTTTTGCAGAGAGAAAGAGAAAGAGAGAGAGAGAGAGAGAGAGAGAGAGAGAGAGAGAGAGAGAGAGAGAGAGAAGGAGTGTGTTGGTGTGTAGGTGGGTGGGTCGGAGTCGAAGGGGAAAGAACATTGAGTTTAGACTCAAGCAACTTGGTCTTTGGTCTGTCTTCTACCACGAGCAGCTGTGCGACCTTGACAAATAACTCTTGCTGCAGTCTCCTCATCTTTAAACGAGGGCTAGATGGTCCCTGAGGTCCTTCCAGATCTAGCATTTTTATCATTTTTCTTGCACTGATCTTAGCGAGTCAGCCTTTCTGTGTTAGGTGCTCAGGTGCCAGGTTGCCAAAAACACAGCATCAATGTCATTGCATCCACCGCTGCACCTCTGAGGAGGGCGTAGGCCCAGCCCTGCACTGTGAGCTCTTCTTGGAGGAAGCATTTCCCCTATGCCTCTTATTTTTAACTCCACTGCCCCCAGCCCCCAAGGGGGGAAAGGCTGCTCTGTTCAGAGCTTCAGTGGGAGGGGAGGAGAGGGGGCTGTCCTGAGGCTCTGCCCGAGACCAGCTGAAGCCAGGCTGGTCAGGGTCTTGTTAACAGTCCCCGCAGAATAATTCACAGCCTGTACTACATGGATACCGAATATTCCCTGGACGGTGTCTGAGCAGATTAGGCAGGCCAAACAACTTGCAAGTCCTTCAGAGAATGATCAAGTTCCCCTCCAGGATTTTATCGAGTTTCTTCCACTAACCCGACTACTGCCCAGGAGGGAAAAAATACTCTGACCTAACAGTCAGAACATTAGATCTGTGTGCATAGGGGCTGCGCGGCACAGAAATTCACCAGAGCCCTTTAATCATCGTATGTCAACTGAGCCACTGGCAAACTGACAAAGCTCCAGCCTGTGGGCAATATGCAGATGTGTGGACTCCAGGAAGCCGACCGGCTACCTTGGTGCTCAGCAGTGGCGGCAAGAATAGGGACTCTGGAGTTAGACCCTGAGACCCAAACCTGGTCTGGCCACTGCCTTGAAATGTGGCCTTAGCCATGTGACAAATTCTCTAAGCCTCAGTTTCCTCATTTATAAGATGAGGCAACTGAACTAGAGAAACTCCTTGGGGGACCATATATTACTATCTTGTCTTTTCTCACTGTGCCCAACATAGTTGAGGAATGCATTAAAGTTTCCTTACATGAATAAGTGCTACAGACAATCCATTCAACACACCATTATTGAGCACCTGCTATATACCAGCAAGTACTAGGAATCCAAAAATGAGTAACGCACATCCATGTCTCCCAGGTGTTCAGCGTGAACAGGGTATAAGAGTTCAGAGGAGGAAGAAATAGAAGTCACCAGGTTGGAGCAGAGAGAAAAAGCTTCTCTGAAAAGGTGGTGGCTTTTAAACTGATTCTAGGGGAAGGATAGCAATTATTATAGCTAGAGAGGAGGGCCATTGCATGAACCAAGGAAAGAAAAAGGAATGTTTGATGATGGTTGGATAGAAGGTTTTTTGTGGTCTAGAGAATGGAAGGTAGGTTGTGGCCATATGGTGAAGGAAGGGCCTTGCATTCCAGGATGAGGTGTTCAGATTTTATTGTGTGGTTAAAGCCATCGTTGTCCCTTTTTTCCACCTCTTCCTTTCCTTGCCCCTCTAACCTCGGGTTATATTCAGAGGCTGAAGCCTGTGATGTTCAAGTGTGGAAATGGACCTACACAGAGCTAACTTTTTAAATCCCTTGGCGTCACATCATTGATCCCCAGACTGATGGGTTAACATGGCAGGTGCCTGAATTCAGTCGTTTCTATTTCACCCCTGTTGAGATTTGCCCCATGCTAGGCCAATCCCAGCTCCATGGACTGCACCACTCATGATCTTTTTGACATTAAGGGCCAGGACAAGCAACACATTATGTATGACTTAACTCAAACAAGAAGTTCTTCTGTACTACACAGGTCTCCTGGGCCTCTGCAAGGGTGGGCTGGACAACCACTTGCTATAGTGTGTATTCCTATTCTCCAGTTGATTGGCCAGGACTCAAGGACCGATCCAAAGACTAAACAGGGGCCTAGTGATATGGCCTTTCAGGCAAAGACGGGCTGGGCCACTCAGCTTCTCTCTCACTGAAGTTTGAACTGAGGAATGTGGAAAACATGAATCATTAACTGTGGCTACTGAAACGAAAAGACATTTGCAGTGTTGGGCTGGAGATGCCATGTGTGAGCGTGATTAAGGTTATTCACAAATATCTGGGCTTCCTTCCCATTCCGGGTCTTGGTAGGATTGCACATCCCACCCAATTAGGTTAGGTATGGCCATTGGATTTATTCTGGCTAAGGAAAAATGTGAGAAGAAGTGATTCATGGGGGACACTTTAAGAGTTAGCGCATGCCTCACCATATGCATTTTTCAAGATTGTGGCTGCTCTGTCATTCTGGGTTCCCAAGTGGCTCCCTCCTTTGCCCCCACCTAACCCTTGGTGGACATATAGGGAGAGCAAGATATAAACCTTTGGTATTGTAGACCACTGAGATCTGGGGATTGTTTGTTACTAAAGCATAACTAGCTTCTTCTGACTAATGCACCACAATAGGTATGCATCACCTAAGTTGGGAGCAAGCAGAGAAATCTGCTTATAGAGAAAGGAGAATGGAGCAGACATATCAAGATAAGCCGAAGCCTCACTCAGAGAAAGATTGGGAGAATATGACCAAATTTCAGTTCCAGGGGTCCTTAGAATAACCCCCCTATATTTCTTGAGGTTACGTGAGAGAGTCAGTATTCCTTGAAAGTGGAAAAGCTGACCAGAATGTGGCGGTGTGGGGGCCTGCACAACATCCTTGGCCCAGAGGTTCTGTGTGAACACCAAGAACATGTTCCGAATTTCCAGATTTCTCTAATGCTTTGTATTCAGTCATTTCTCAATGAAGGTTTGTTAAATGATTTTTAAATGACTGTTATTTTTATATGACTATTAACCATACAAGTAAGTTGAAGAAGTAGTATCTGGGAAGGTAAGATGACAAAACTAGATTCAAAAGACCTTGTTTCCATTCAAAATATGGATTCTGTGTTGTATTTCTTGAAGAATTAATGTAAGTACTGTGATAAGGTAGGACAAATGTCTCACAAATATATGTTGAACACCTTTTGTGTGTAAGGCATTTAGGGTCTATGGGATCAAGAGAAGTGGATAAGAAACATGGATCTTTTCCTCTAGGAAGTGTCTGTGCATGATGCAGGGTAAAACCCTCTCTTTGAAGGTCATTTAATGTGTGTTTCCAGTGGCATTTCCATTGTCTCAAATGGTGGCCTGGATCCCTCTGTAGTTGTGAGGATCACATATCTCAGGTTTTCTAGTAAATTTTTTTTTTTTTTTTTTTTTTGAAACAGAATCTCACTCTATTGCCCGGGCTAGAGTGCCGTGGCATCAGCCTAGCTCACAGCAACCTCAAACTCCTGGGCTCAAGTGATCCTACTGCCTCAGCCTTCCCGAGTAGCTGGGACTACAGGCATGCGCCACCATGCCTGGCTAATTTTTTCTATATATTTTTAGTTGTCCAGATAATTTCTTTCTTTTTTTTTTTAGTAGAGACGGGGTCTCACTCTTGCTCAGGCTGGTCTCGAACTCCTGAGCTCAAACGATTCACCTGCCTCGGCCTCCCAGAGTGCTAGGATTACAGGCATGAGCCACTGTGCCTGGCCTCTAGGAAAGTTTTAATATTAAATATATTGTCCCTTTTCCTCTGTAAATCATCTGTGCTTGTCATGCCACATTTTCCAATATTTGATTCCAAAAGAGAGTCAACATGAGCCTAGTTTACTAATGTGACACCTTTAACAGGAATGTTCATTTGAATATGTATGTTAGGGTTGGTTTGTTTAAAAAACAAAACAAAAACCTCATTACCTGATAGTCACCCCTTGTTTAACAGCAATGGCAGTGCCTGTGTACTGTGACTCCCCTGGAGTCAACAGTGCTGACTCAAGCAATTAAGGGAAAGTGAAGAATCTATAATTAAACTGAGAGACAATTGCTTCTTCCACGGGGTTGTGGAATGCAGCGTGTTATGCTCAAGGCTCAGTGTCCCACGGAACAAGATACAGCATGCTGTCCTCATACACTGGCGAGTTTTGTTCCCAAGGGTCTGTGATGCTGCCATAAAGGACCCACAGAAATTATGCTCTGCTTCCCCGGGTGCTGGGGGGTGGGGTAGGGGCTGGCTTGGA